CTAAATGAACAATACTAAAAGCAGAATCACATCTAGATTCATAATGATTTGGAAAGGATGACCTGGTATGTTTCCCTAGTTGACAGGATTCACATTCAAAAGTTTGAAGGTTCTGAAGTTCAGGAACCATTTTTTTCAATTTTGCTAAATGAGGATGCCCTAATCGCTCATGTAACAGTTTTGGGGATAAGGATGCAACAAAAGATACAGATGACTTAGTCCTAAGGTAGTATAAGCCTCCAGATTCATGTCCTTCTCTAATCAGTCGGCCCGTACCACGTTCCTAGATAACAAAACAATTGGCATTAAAGGTTACTGAGAAATTCAATGATTTGGTTAATTGGCTTACAGAAAAAAGACTGAATGGAAAATAAGGAACACAAAGAACATTTTGAAGGTTTAAAGAAGAAGAAATGGATACTTGACTAATTCCTTTAAAGGCTACTTTAGATCCATTAGCTAAAGATATGAGATGGGATGTTTTACGAAATGAAAGAGAGGAGAATAAAGAGGTATTACCAGACATGTGGTCAGAAGCACCTGAGTCAATAATTCACGGATTTTGACTTTCCACAGATTGCGAAATGCAAGCGGTTGACGAATTTGGTGTTGTAGATGCTTGAGCCAAATTGGTTGATTTCATCATTAAATATTCTTGATACTCTTCATGAGAGAACTTGGGCTCATCAGCTTCAGATTTTGAGGTATTAGCTGCCTTATCAGGAAAGTCGTGCAGATCAAAACAATTTTCCTTAGTATGTCTCATTCTTTTGCAATGAGAGCACTGAGGACGTCATTTCCCACCACGTCCTCTAGAGTTGTGATTACCTCTTCCACGAGCAGAAATCATGGCGGAAGAATCAGCAAGTTCCTTACTGTTTTTGCTTTTGATAGAAGGAACATGATGTAGCCTTGTGATTAAACTCTCCGTAGAAGGAACTTCTTCTCCATTTAGAATCTGGTCTCTAACATGATTAAACTCTGGATTCATAACCCTAAGAATCATTACAATATAGAATTTATCCAGCTTCGTCTTTCTTTCCTCTAATGATTCTGCCTCCAGGAACATTTTTAATTCTTCAACAGCTGACTGAACTTCAGCAACAAAGGACATCATGGAATTATCCTCTTGCTTAAGGGAGGCTAGTCTATTAGCAGAATCATAAAGTCGTTGAATATCATTAGCAAAGATATTTTGGGCCTTTTTCCAAAAAGAATTACATGAGTGCTCAAAATATTTGGTTCAACAGATTGTCATAATAGTGCACAAAGTTGATAATCCAGTTTCTTCCATTGAGGAGCCTGATCTGCTGGTTTAGTACTTCCATCTTCTTCTAGATGATCATGAACTCCTTGACCTAGAAACCAGAGCTCAACGGAGGAAGCCTAAGACAAATAATTTTTCCCATTTAATTTTTCTGTGGTTATAGTCGGAGTCCCAGAAAAAGATACAGACACAGGTCCTGACATTTTCCAGGAAACAAGAAAGGACCAGCGTGTTGTCAGAGAGAGGACCAAGAGAGGCAGAGAGAAAAAAAAAAGCAGACCCACGTTTTGTGACAGATAACACAAAACAAAGTGCAGATCTGGCACTAGGGCGACGAGGACAGCCGAATAGAGGTGGCTTGGAGCAAAACAACCACCGGGAGGGCGGCGCATGGCTCACGCGCGGAGGAAGCCGCAGACGAGGGTGGCGTGTGGCGTCGCGTGAGGCAGACAGAGGAAGCGAACATTGGGGTTGGGTCGCGCTCCTCGAGGCTAGGCAAACCCAAGTGTCAGAGAGAGAAAAGTCGCCGAAGAAGAACAGCACCGGCGGTGAACAGCGATTAATGCCTGAAAAAAAACAGAGACAGGCAGAGCGGGATGAACCCGCTCTGATAGCAACTTGAAATAGAAAAAGGAAAATAAAGAACTGATTTTGAGAGCCTGAAATCATCTTCTTGTGTTCTCTTATTTATAGGAGATAAAAATACATATTCAGAGATACAATTAATAGAGAGACATGATTAATCCTAGAGAAGATAAACAGATGCATTCTAGGAACTAGGTCTACAACTAATCTCATAAAAGCCCAACAAGATACACTTAATCTAATAAATACTTCAACAACTACTACATGAACGCTTAGGTCACCCTCATTTGTCAAAAACAAAGATGGTTCTTAAACTTAGTAGACTTCAAGCTTTAGAATATGAATCCTATAAACTAGGACAACATGTTAGCTCTTCTTTTCCTAGACATATTTGGTTTTAGATATTTTGTAAATTTTATTTATGAGTTTTCAAAATGGACTAGGATTTAAGAATATTCTAGATGCACTGGATATTATGAGTATTCTAAACTTTTGTCTATCTTTATGTCTTTCTTTAATGAAATCAAAAATCAACTTAGCAAAGTAATCAAAATTCTACAATGTGATAATATCTCAAAGAATATTTTTCTTTGATATTTCTCCTTTCTTAAACTCATATAGCATTTTACATCAATTTACTTGTCCTTATACCTCAATAAAATGGAAAAAAAAATAGATACTTGGTTAAAATAGCTTATACCTTATTGCTTAGTGAGAACATGCATGTCTATCATTAGGGTGATGTTGTCTTAACTATTTGTTTTCTTATAAACAAAATGTCTTCTTCTTAACTTGAAAGTAAAGTTTCGAACTCCATTCTATTTCCAAAGAAACCCCTATTCCATATTTCTCCCCTTGTTTTTGGTTGTGTATACTTTGTTCATGATATGTCTCTAAGTTTAGATAAACTCTTGGCTAGAGCCATCAAATATATCTTCTTGGGACATTTTCACCTTCAAAAAAGATATCGATGTTACTCCCCCAGAACCACGAGGTACTAAATGTCTACTAATATCACCTTTTTCAAATCAACGCCTTTCTTTCCTTCTTCGGCACAGGATATTCATTTTGTCGAACATGTTTTACCTATGTCCTTCAGTAAGTCTTTTGTTCTTCCTTCTCTTGATACCCAAAATTCCATTCAAAATCCACCAAAACCATTGTCACCATCACTTATTTTTATCAACACAGGAACCAAATGACTAGTCTAATGCCCCAAGGTGAGTCCTCTTTAGCAAATCCTTCTCAATCATCACTTAATATCACAGTTTTTGATAATGATGACTTAAGTTAGCCCATTGTCATTCGCAAAGGCACCTGCTTTACTCTTAATCCACATTCTATTTACAATTTTATTAGCTACCACACGTTGTTTATTCCTATTTTTCCTTTATATTTTCTATATCTTCTATTATTATTCCTAAAAATGTGACAGAAGCACTTGATCATCCTAGATGGTTAGAAGCCATGATTTCTAAAATGCAAGCTCTTAAACATAACAATAAATGGGAGTTAGCTCCTCTTCCATTTGAGAAGAAAATAGTTGATTGTCATTGGGTCATGCCCTCAAAGTTGGACATAATGGTGAAGTTGGTCATGTTAAAGCTTGACCAGTAGCCAAAGGGTAGACTTAAATCTATGCGCTTGATTACAATGATATAGTATCATTGATACTTTCTTTCCAATGGCCAAAATGACTATTATACACCTTTTCCTTGCCATTGCAGTCATACATCATTGACCTCTTTATCATTTTAGATGTTAAAAATGATTTTTCTGCATGACAATCTAGAATAAAAGGTATACATGGAGCAACCTCCTAGATTTGTTGCTTAGGGGAGTTTGGTCTAGTTTGTACATTGTTTCGCTCTTTGTATGGTCTCAAGCAACCTCCATGTGCCTAGTTTAGAAAGTTCAACCACATTGTTCTATTTTTTATTGTCATACCTCCCCAGGAAAATGTGTGTACTTAATAGTAAATGTTGATAATATAGTTATTACAGGGAATAATGCTGCTCAAATCTCTCAATTAAAGAAACACCTATGCAATCATTTGTAGACCAAATATCTTGGGAGTCTCAAATATTTTTTGGGCATTGAAGTAGTCTCATCAAAGGAAGGTGTTGTAACTTCTCAAAGGAATTATGTTCCAAATATCTTGAAAAAGGCAAGTATGTTTGATTGTAAACTTGTGGATAGCCCTATAATGGATCCAAATTAGAAATTAACACAAAACTAGATGAAGTTTTTTCTCTAACTCAAAAAGGTATAGAAAACTAGTTGAAAAAGTTATCTATCTTGTCATTACTAGACTAGATTTGTCTTTTGCAATTGGTGTTATGACGAGGTTCATACAAACTCCTTGTATTGACACTGGAATGTTGTCATCTGAATTTTATAATACCTCAAAAAGGGTCCAAGACAAGGTCTACTTTATGAAGATAAAGGAAATACCCAAATCCCTAGGTATTGTGATGCTGATTACGCAAATTGTCCTATAAACAAACACTACTACTGGATATTATGCCTTCATTGGAGTAAATATTATCTCTTAGAAAAGTAAGAAACAAAATGTCGTTACCCAACCAATTGATGAATTTGAGTATAGGGTAATGACATCTTTCACTTGTGAGTTTATATGGGTATAACAACTCTTCTAAGCATTAGATTTTTGTGAGATTAAGCACATAAATATGTATGGTGATAACCAAGCTACTCTTCATATTGCTTCTAATCCAGTACTTCTAACCAAGTTAGTATAGTACCTAGGAACTAGATGTCTTTTCTTATTCCCTTCTCTCTCTCAATTTAAACTACCCTTCCGATTATAAATATAAAAACCTAAGAGATAAAAATTAAGCCTCTCCAATATTTTTTTCCATTTAATATATCTCAAAGTGATATATTTGACAAGGCAATGCCAAACATGCCTCAAAAACAACATCTTTGTATAAATCCTTTCCTTTTGGACATGCATGCTGAAAAGCTAATATATACAATACAACCATTGAGCATATGTAGGTTCGACTATCACACATTCCTTTATACATTAAACAATCATTTTGCAAGTGAAATATAGGATCAAGAGCTTCTTTAGATTACAATCATTGCATGATTATGATTCAAATAGAAGTTCAAGACCAGGAGGCTAGTTGCAGTTTCCATACATACCACTTGCAGTTCCTATCCCCATTAATGAAGAACCAGCGTTAGCCATTATAGCTCGGACATCAGCAAAATCTACATTCACCAACCCTGGTATCTACAATAAATTTGTAAAAACAATGAGCATAGCAATTTTACAGAAAGATATCCTCAATTTCAACCATGGATAATGAATCAATAATAGGCCTTTATAAAATAATCACTCATTAGCAATATTTACAATTTTGAGTAAACTTATATAAAAATGTAGAAGTAGAAAGCTACATTTTTCAGTTGTTCCTAAAGAAACAATTTTCTGCTTTTTTACAATCACTTTTCTTTAAGCACAAACAAACAGACCCAATATAGAGTCAGAATATTCTACTAGTAGGCAATGTATATTTTATCCATATATGGTTTCAAGAAAAAAAGTAAACAAAAATAATTATCCTGATAGTTTTAAATCAACATGTCAAATAACTTTGTGGCCCTTATGCATTGGGCAAGAACTGAAGACAATCACAAGCAAGGAAACAAATACTTCAAGATAGTAGTCATGTCATATTATTTTCATGTTAAACATGTATCCATGCCATACACTTTATGAGCACTTTGAATACTCCTAGTTGCATTTTAGCATTTGTTTTAAACATTTTTACCAACACAAAAGAAAATATTACAATAATTAGATAAATTACACAATTTTATTATGTCTACCGTTTGTACTCGTTATTAAAACAAGGATTTAAGAGAAGTATTTTATGATAATTTTAGATGCTGTATTATAGTTGTGTCATAGACATAAACTGTCATTTTTTAAAATTTATCATATTTCTCATGACTTTGTATCATATCTGTGTGCAATGACATATTCATGCCTTCAAGATTAGAAAACAGATGTCAGCAAAACAAACTGCAAGGTTGGAAGGTACCCTTTCCATTCATCCTTTTGTTTTTACTTCTTTAAAATCATTTTTTGATTGGGACAAAAACGTGAAGCAAAATAGTAATGTTCAAAGATCATGAACAATATTTCCTACCGTAATAATATCAGATATGCCGCGAACACCCTGTCGAAGAATATCATCAGCTAGATTGAATGCTTCCGTTACAGGGGTAGATTGAGAAACTGCCGTTAGTAGCTTGTCATTTGGAATGACTATAAGTGTGTCAACATTATCTCTCAAGGCAGTAATTCCTTCTTGAGCTTGAATAGCTCTCTTTCTTCCTTCAAACGAGAAAGGGGTAGTGACAATACCAACCGTTAGTATACCCATTGACTTTGCTATACCAGCAATAATTGGAGCTCCACCTGTGCCAGTTCCCCCACCCATTCCAGCCTGTAAAAGTTAATTTCAATTTCCAATCTTAGTGAAATATACCAATAAAGAACAATATAAGTAACTACGTACATGCCTGTTCCAGATTTAGAAAATTTTACATATTTTAAGATTTCAAATAGAAATGTCAAGAACTGCAGGTTCCTTGTATCAAAGAACTAATCATTAAATGCTTTAATTTCATACTTTTTAACCCCCACTGTCCACCCCCAATCCTTTTAAAAGAAATATCACAAACAACCAAGATTGTACTTGATATTATAGTGTACCAAGTAAAATTAAATTCAACATTATAATGATAACAATTTTTATGGCCTTTTGCCTATAGTTTATCTTGGTCCTATTATATATGAGCTGGTAGCTTATAAACATATGGTTAGATGTAAAAATCATCTGTTTTCACTTAGCATAATAAGCTTTTATGACATCAGCCCGTTTACGACAAAGTTGTTAGGAGTCCAATTCTCGTTGCCCGCTTCTAGCTCAGAGAAATCCCACATGAGAGGACTTGTCAGATATAAAAATCATTCATGAGCCTTTACTTAACAAGGAATAAGGAGGGTTGGTCCTTAATATTTACATTGACTTTATAATGTAACAGTTAACCCAGTACTAAAAAGATAATTCATAACACAATTATAATTTCTATTTGCAGAAGCTAAAATTCGGAAAAAAAAATTGTAGTTAACCTACTGTAACAAAGACCATATCGGCTCCATAGACTGCCTCGTCTATAGACTTTTTGCTTTCTTTAGCAGCATTCATTCCAATCTCAGGGTTACCACCAGCTCCAAGACCTCGCGTAAGCTCTAAACCAATTTGCAAACGGTTCTCAGGATAGACAGGCGACATTCTCATGGCTTGAACATCAGTATTAACAATCCAAAACTCCACACCGTGTATCGAACTCTCTATCATGCGATTGACTGCATTTGACCCACCTCCTCCAACGCCAATAACTTTGATCTTTGCTTCATTGTAATCACTTTGAATAGACACAGATCCTACACTCTCAGATATATCCTCACCTGAGCTATCCTTTCTTGGGTTGTTCAGTGTACTGCTCTCTTCTTCTCTAAGCATTGATACCTCAGGATGTAAATCAAGAGAAGGGCCTTGGCTACTATATGGACTGACCCCGTGAAAATTGGCTGAACACTTAACTTCAAGTGAACCCAACATTTGGATGCCACCAGAAAATCCATTCCTGCGGTCGTACATTTTAATGAAACTACCTCTCCCAGGGTAATTCCCAGTCAGATTTCTTTTTCCAATAGTCAACACCCTTGCTGAATGTCTAGAGTTGGAAGGTGCAAAAATTGTTGACACACAAGTGACCATTTTTTATTTTTTTGTTATCTGTCGCAACCAACGGGTGTTGACAATATCAAACTTCAAAGTTGGGATTTGCAGGTAAATGTATGGAGGAAAAATAGAGGCTTAAACAATTCAAACTAGCAATTCACCCAGAATTCCTTCTCCAAATACCTGTTTCTGAATAAAGACAGAAATGTTAGGGCCTTTATTGGTTTTCAAAAATGTTTTTTAAAAATGATTTCATACTTCTCAGCAATCAATTTCTCATCCAAAATCTATTAAATTTTAAAATTTATTTCTCAAACTTTCAAAAAAAAAAAAAAAAAAACAGAATCGTCTAGATGATTTCCCATCTGTCTTCTTCTCCTTCTTCTGTTTTCATCTTTTTCAACCTCTATCAATTGCATAGTCTCGTCTTCTTTGTCTTGCACCACCCTCCATTGATTCTCTGGGCAACCTCGTTTGTTTGCATTTCAAAACTTTTATGTTCTCTAATAAAAAGTAGAAATGAAACACTCCCATACTCTAACACGCCGCTCATAACAATACGAACAAAAAGGGGCAACACACAAATGGGGAACAATTGAATTACCACATAGTAAAGAAAATTAGTAGAAATCAAAATACCAACAATGTGCATGCTCGGAGCGATAACTTGATGAGAAGAGCAAATGCATAAAATTGTAATGACGAAGAAAGTGTTAGCAAAGAAAACGAAGCAAAATGACAACGAAAAGAAGAATCACTGTGTGTATGAGTGTGAGAGAAAGAGCGATACCTGAAAAATGGAGAATCTATAAAGGGCATTTGGGTGGTGAATGGATACAAATGGAAATGGTGGAATCAACAACGGGGTTTATGTTGTTAACCAACTACTTAACCGCAGGACCCTCTTTTCCTTTTCTTAAGTTGATAATAGGGTTTTCATTAAAAAGTATATTTTCAGAAATTTAAATTGTGTTAGTTGCACTACGTTAGCATCTATATTTTCTTTACTATGTGGTAATTCAATTGTTCCCCATTTGTGTGTTGCCCCTTTTTGTGGAATAATGATAAAAACATCACTGTAACTACAAATACTTCAGGATTTAATGTACAACGGAAATAAGTCCGGTACGATAAATATGTTCGTTTATTCTAAAAGATATCAAATGTATAAGTTTTTTTATAATAGTAGTTAATCCATTAAAATATTTTTCTTATCAAGTAGAATCATGCGTAATTTTAAATAGTAGTTTAAAGTAATTTTAATACAAATTATGAGTTTAATTTTTATTCACAAAATTACTTCTTTTATTAGATAATGATGTTTAATCAGTTTTTATAAAAATTAATAAATTTATTATATCCAATAATTGTAATACTTTTTCCATTTATTAAATATTAAAAAACATGCTACTAAAAAATTATTTTTTAAGAATATTTCAAAATTGATGATATTATTATTATTCGTAACTATTAATTTCAAATTATGATAATATAAAAGTTAATCAATGTGAAATTTTAATTTTAATTATTAATTTAATAATATAAATCATTGATAACAGTGTTAATGTTATGCTAAAATTAATAATTAGTAAATTTATAAATGTTAATTTAAAAACTATTTTTGAAAATTATTATTATTATTTGAATTTAAATTTATTCATTAACAATAAACTAATTACACAATATATTACCTTTAGAAATAACATTATAATATATATTTATAAATATATTGTGATTTGAAAATATATTAGTAATATTTTATTAATAAATAATACGTAAATTTTATTATTATTATTATTATTATTATTATTATTATTATTATTATTATTATTCTTAATTTAAATCAATATTAATATTGAACTGATAATGTAAAATATTAAATTTAATTACTAATTAATACCTTCAATTATTAATAATAATATTAATTTTATATTGGAATTGCTAAATTAGTCCAATTATTATATTTAATTTTAAAATATTTGTAATGTATAATTGTGAATAACTTAAACTTATTTATTTATCTTAACTTGTTGTATATATAATAAAGAATTAAATATTTAATATAAGTGAAAAAAAATAACATATTCAATATAACATCAATATTTAATGATTTTGTAAAACTGAGTCCTATTTTTGAGGTTAAGAAAGTCATCCAATAGCCAATATGATTATTGATAACAATTAGCAATTTATCATTTATGATAGTAATTTATCAAAGAAAAGAAAAATTAAAAAAGTAAATTAAAAAAATATATTTATTTAAGAGAACAGTGGTATTAAAAGAAAGAATTTATTAATTAAAAATTAAAATGTATTTAATTAGAAATTGATCAATATAAATTTTAATATATTTTTTTATCAATAAAATTATTTTTTAAAATTAATATCTCATTTTTTTCATAATATATGTTTTAATATATGATCATAAAATATTTTTTATTATAAAATTATATATATTTTAAAAAATATTTGAGTTTAAATTAATAAATTAAATTAATAATTTAATCTTTATAATTGTTTTTTATTATCGATAAGAAGAATATGTTTTTCACTTATTTCCTTTCTTTTTAATGCTTTTTATTCTTCCTTATGTCTCCAAAGAAACACAAACTAAGAATATAAGGGTGTTGGTTCCTTGTCACTCGCACGATCACATAAAAAATAAATATCCCAATAATTTATAAATATATCTCTATAATTCATGAATATAAAGTTTAAATCATTAAAAAAATGTTCAAAATTAACATATTTTTTTAATATCTTCTTAGTACAATTATTAAATAATAATTTATTTTCTTTTATTTTTATGCACTATTATTAACTTTCCACAAAGATATTTTAAACTTTTAAATAAAACTTAGTATTTTTGTAAAAAAATTTATAAAATAAATGACAAATAAGTAAATCGGTAATTCAAACTTAGTTGATTTTAGCTACAAATAATTTAGGCTATGTGATCATGAACTGTTCGAATTATTCGATATGATCACAAACAAGTGTTTGATCGAGTGAGATGAATTGTAATTATTTTTAAGAACGAGAGGGAAGTCCACCAATGAAGACACTTTGAATCTTAAGTAACAAGTATATGTTGTTTTGTAACAAAATAACTGATGATCTCAAACAAGTGAAAAGTGTATAATTTATAAACTTTCTACCATGGATATTTTTGGTAATAAAGATACTTGATTAATGATAATAATTTGTCTTTATTGTGGTATTAATTATTGTCGCTGTCATCCCCTCCGCGAAGGGGGGAGCTAAAAGGCGAGTTGTCACTATGTGATGGTTTTATGACTCGCGTTTTCTAAAATATGGTCATCACTTTTAGGATGCTCATTAACCGAACTATCCTTAAAAACGATGTTTTCGTAAAAGGGTTCTAAGGAGTCGTCATCAATGTTTTAACCTTAAACATTGAAAAATGAAAAAAATAAAGGTGTTGGTTTAGAAAAACCAATTTTGGTCATTATAACCAAAGTTAGGTAAGGGAGTTAGTTACGTGTGGGGAAGGTATTAGCACCCCACAACGCCCCTTTGGGTTTCCTATGATAGATTAATTATAAAAATAAAGATATAAAAATTATGTTTTTACCCTATTTATTTACTTGCAGTATTTAAATAATATATCTACATGACTCTAATTTCTAATGCACACAGAAGAAAATGATAAAAGGAAAGCAATCAAAGAGAAGGAATTGAAAAGAACCTTCGAAGCGAGCTTTTTATAAATCTTCAAACTTGGCGCTCTACAAGAATGCTCCTCCCTCAAACAATAAAATTCTTAAACTCCTGGGAGCTGGATGTCCCAAAAGGAGACTTCCTTAACCGATTTTGCCCAAATGGACTATCGGAAAGACTACCCGGACATCTAGAACAATACAAAAAGGCCCAGAAGTGTCTCAAAATATGAGAGAGTTGTGAGAAGGTGTGTGGAATGGTGAGGAATGACGTTCTATTTATAGGCTCACTCACCCAGGAGGTCGGGACGATCGTCCCAAGCTTCCAAAGAGGGTGGGACGACCATCTAGAATTTAGGACGGTCGTCCTAGACCACTAAGGAAGATGGGACGGTCGTCCTAAATTCGGAACGGTCGTCCCAACTTTTCTGACAACTTTTCTAATTTTGTATTTTCTGAGAAAACCCTCCTTTTCTTAAATGGATCCTAGCTAACACTACTAGGGGTCCTATGAAGTCTTATTCATCTTTAAAACGAAGAATTTTTGAACTTCATGTATGGTCGGGCAAGATTTGGGGTCTACAGTTTCACCCCCCTTCACCCACTAACCAGCTGTTGGCGAATGTGCCGTAAGACTAGTTGGCGGGTCAAGGAGTTAACCCTCTTGCCAGGTCGTCCTTCGAATGCTCCTTTGGTGTGGTAGTCAATCCTCCAGACGATGAATGTGGATATCCTCTTCAAGGTTAACCACAGGGTGTTTTCTTTGACCTTGTGGTAATGAGTACGAACCCACACCTGGTTTGAGTCCCCTTATGTAAGACTCGTCCACCGGATGTTCTCTTCGATCTTGTGGTTGATGAGTACAGACTCTCATCTGGTCTGAGTCCCCCTTTTGGTAAAACTCGTCCACCGGATGTTCTCTACAATCCTATGGTAAAATTTGCCCACTAGATGTTCTCTCCGATCCTATGGTTAAATTTGCCCATTAGATGTTCTCTACGATCATGTGGTTGATGAGTACAGACTCCCATCTGGTCTGAGTCTCCCTTTTGGTAAGACTCATCCACCGGATGTTCTTTCCGATCCTATGGTTGATGAGTACAGACCCTCATCTAGTCTTAGTCCCTCTTTTGGTAAGACTCGTCCACCGGATGGTCTCTCCGATCCTGCGGTAAAAATTTTCCACTAGATGTTCTCTACGATCTTGTGGTTGATGAGTACAGACCCCCATCTGATCTGAGTCGCACTTTTGGTAAGACTCGTCCACCAGATGTTCTCTCCAATCCTGCGGTAAAATTTTTTAGAATCGCGCAGCGCAATATTTGTGTTTAGGGACAAAAAGCAAGAAGGGGGTGA